TCTTTCTTTTCCTTCTACACCGATTTATATAACTTACATCAAAAGGACGTTTGAATATTATTCTGCTGCCGCAAACATGTATAGTTTGAGTGAAGAAGTCTTTGAATAAACTCTTGGTTTAAAAAGACGCTGTTAAATTTGTATTTTTGCAAATCGAAAATTTATTGGGTATTGGTACTTATTATATATTAGCAGTCGAACAAACGATTTTCTCCGAAATTTTTCGGTGATCGACGTCAAAATTTTATTAATAAAATTAGCCACAAACCTTAATTCTACCTCTTTCTTCTCCTTAAAAAAATTATACATTAATATTAATGGAGGTTATTTAATAAAATAGAGAAAAATCTTGGTGTCAAAGTTTATTTATCAAACAAATTACCACGTTTAGAAATTAGTTATCTCTTTTTTGGTCAGTACGCTTGGTGATCTCCTGCCTATCTTTTTTCATTGATTGATAAATAAATTTTATCAACACGCACATCTCAGATGGTATTGCAACGTAAATTCTTGTTTGCATAACAAGATTTGGTAGAATTACTTTTTTTTTCTGACACCACCAAACAAGTGGTTTACAAGTTCCACATGTTTCAGAAATATTTGCATGGATCTTCTTTTGATAATTGTATTGTTATTGTTGTTGGTTGAAACGGGAATGTAAACTAGTATTATCCAAAACATCAGATGAAATAGATAGATTCAATATTTGTATCACTCGCTGTCAGATTTGATAATCATCATTTAAAAAATTTATCATTATTATTATTTACCTATTATTATTATTATTATTACCACCACCACTACTTATTAATGGTTCATTGTTAATATTATCAATATGAATATTTTTCTTTATTATTATTGACTGTTATGAGTATTATGTTTTTTAATTTTGGCAAATGAATGAATGGTAGGTTTTTTCTTTTGTCATTAAGAAAAAAAAATATATCAGCTAGCTAAGCCGCCGATAAATTTCTCAGCCGGCCGACATCGTTAATCAATTTCCAATAATATTTCAAAATTGATGCGCATGCATGGTATAATTTCCCCGATGAAACTTCTTGTTTTTCCAAATGCACATTATATTTTTAACGTAGTTATTATCTTTTTTATATTCAGTCTCCATACTTAATGCTCTGGCTTTATTACGTGCCTCCACTTTTAATTAAACTATTAGCATAGGTTTTATTAATGGTAATAGTACTTTCGAACATTTCACAAGTTCAAAACCTAAACTGAAATTCAAAAACCATACAAAATTCAAAACCTAAGCCGAGAGTCAAACTATGAATACATTTGACCAAAAATCGCTTAATTCTTTTCTCGAAAATAGTTTAGGAGTTTCGGGTTAGTTTCGAAAGTAGTTTAGAAAAGATGTTAGAGTTTAGAAAGGCAACTATAAGATTGACTGTATTACGAATAGAAACCCTAGGTCAAGCCCTTCAACATACAAGTTTACAAAGATGCAAATATATAATCAGTAAAAAACAGACATGAGCTAATCAAATTATCATATTAATTGCCCAGTACGCCTACCATACACATAATAATATTTATTTTTGGTGTGGTTCAGTATTGTACATCAAAGTAATAACCATCAAGTCCCAAATCGTGAAAGGTATGAATAAATATCAATGCTATGAATGCAATCATCAAACTTGATGATGTTATGTTTGCTGAAAAAAATCTTTCTTTTTTAGCATTTTTTATGGAACTTCTCTAATTTTAAATATATATTTCTCTTTTTGCACTTTTTGAACTTTTTGTTTGTCTTCCTCTTCAGAATCTTTGCGATGAGAGTAAATAAAATAATTAAGAGCTCCGGTTTCAAGTATATTGATCAGCACCTTATCTTCCGCTTTCATCTTTTTCACTTTTATCGTTTTCATTTTCGTTTCCGTAGCTTTCTCCACATCTATAATATTAGTATTAGTAACATTTTCCCCTTCCGCTTCCAAAGTTTTTCTCTTTTCATCTTTGAGATTTTTTTTCATAACTTCTTTGATTCTTTCACAATTACGATGTTTTAGAATACAATTTTCCTCCGTTTCGGTAATTTCCATGATTTCTTTTAGGATTGGTTCACTTTCAAAGACCCCTTTCCCAAAAAGATATTTTTTTACATCGAGAAGAAATCTCCGAAACTTTTTAAATGATTTACCTTTTAATAGATCCTTTATATGTTCTTCCTTATCACCAATGTAAGGAGTTGAACACCTATTAAAAAAAATCACAGGTGTATTTATTATTATACATCTAATTGTCAAAAATCCAAAGTAAACAAAGTTAAACAAATTTGAACCTATCGTAGCACAAATTGCTTATGTGAAACTTTAATTGGTAAGTGATAATAAATATTTGTGGAGAGTTGAACATAAGATCTGTGTTAGTATAATAATAATAAATCTTTACCAGTTGACGTAATGAACGGGTGACACTTAATCCCGAAATGGACTATTGGTGTTTGATAGACATTACATGCATGGAAACATCATTCTAATGCAGCAGAAATATATTTAATTGATAAATTGTGATATTATTTTACCAAGAGGGGGACATGTCATCAACCATGAATTATAATTTTGCGTTTCAATGAAAGATTTTATAAGTTCAAAGCATATGCGTACAATTGCGACTGATATGTAATCATTGGGTTGGTTTCTTAGCAAAAGGTTTGGATTTTCAAGCAATGGTGTTTGTCATGTGAATCAAGACTTGTAAGGAAGGTGGGAAATTATGTTGACCCAAACTTAAAATCTGGTTTTAGTCAATGAATGGGCTATGTAATTACTTAATTACCAGTGATCACATTTAATAATCTATTTTTAGTTTAAATTATATTTTTGTAAATAATGTTAAATATTTTTTGATTATTACTTGTTTTATTTTTTTAATTAATATAAAAAAAGATGAAAGACTATTTACAAGAAAAGAAAAGATTTATTTTTAAAAAGTGGCCTTATTTTATTATATGTATATATCAATTATATATATCATACAGCCAAGGTATTTCGGAATTGATTGTTTTTCACAGGGATAATATTCTCATTTTTACAGTATTGTTCTTTTATATAGTATAATGGTGTATTATCATCGTCGTCATTATCATCATCATCATTATTGATGGGACCAATTGATTTCATCGTGAATGGACAATCAAAAAAATCTAGACAATCGTCATCATTCAATGTATCGACATCGGAAACTGTTGATTTGGTCGAGGATGAGGAGTAAGAACGGACTAGCGTATTTGTACTACTCGAATCACTTGACGTGCTCATCTTACTTAATCTGTTCTTTCTACGGGCTAAAGGTATATCCTTTACTATAAATTCATCTGAAGATTCATCATAGATTGTTAAACAATTATTTTTTAGATAAGAAGGTCGAGATGACGGTAAAGGTAAATCGCAAAGTGCTAAAGTTGACTTTCTTGATCTTAAACTATTACAGTAATTACTGTTGTTGCTATTACCACTGTTATTATTCCATTTCACATTTATTTCAAAAATTTTTGCTTTATAAACATTTAATTCCTTGCGTTCTCGTTCTTGAATTGAATCATTTGATAATTTTTCCAAGATATTATTTAATAAAATGACTCGATGTAATGGTTGTGATTGATATTCTTTGTTCATAAGACGTATTTTGCGTATTGTACGCACATAAGCAAAATGTTCAACTGATCCACATATAACCTTTGTATTATCCATTACTCTATTATTATTGCAATTGTTGTTTGATGTTGTTAATGATGGTGATGGTAATGATAAGGGTGATAATAATGTTGGTGATTTTAATAATGGATAATTGGATGCAGTGATCTTGTATTTGCTTGATCTTTGATCAAATGATAAAACCGATAATCTCTCGTTCATAAAATCCGGACTCGCATTACAATTATTGTAATTGTAATTATTATTTGATGACAAAGGTTTATTAATAATTATATCATCTTTTATCCTACGATCTTTATTAACAAAATAACTGGAAAAAGAAGATCTTGAACGTTTGATTGGGTTTTTTGATTTTTTATTGGTTGATGATGATGGTGGCAGTGGTGGTGGTGATGATGATGAAGATGATAATAATGATGGTAAAGATAAGGATAATGGTAATCTTAGGCTATTGTTGTTGTTGTTGGCGTCGTTAATGTGAGTTGATGATGATGACTTTGTGTTTTTTTTAGAGGAAATCATCATGCCTTTTAAATTTTTTTGATTATGAGTTGTTGAGGTTGTTGTTATTGCTGCTGCTGCTGCTGCTGCTGTCAAAGTTTTTTTTTTTGATGATGATGAAACACGATATTTTGTCCATTTAGTTAACTTTGATAATAAAGATGATGATTTTGAGGTTAATAATTGTTTATTATTAATATTGTTGTTATTAATGTCTTGATTCATCAGCGACATCGTTATTGTTTTTTAAAAGATTTTTGAATTTGAAATTGTTTTTCTTTACTAAAAAAAAATCTAAGATATTTTATAAAAAAATTAGTATGAGAAAAAAAAAGAATAATATAAATAAATTATTTTTTTTGGCTCACAATTAAAAAAAAAAAAAAAGAGAATAATAAATAAAAATACATGATGATGACAGAATACCATCATAAAATAATCATTTTAATTAATTATATTATAATTAAAATAAAAGCAAACTTACCCTCTATATATAATATATATATAAATAATTTTTGGCGTTTGAAAAATAAAAAAAATTATATATATATATATATATAAATATATAAATATAAATATATATATATAAAAGTTGAAATTGGGGTTTTTAAACAAGAAAAAAAGTGAAATATTTTTTTAATTTAAATTATTTATAATAAATAAAACTTTGAATTAATATGTATATTTGTTTGTTTTCTATTCGAATTTTTCATTCATAAAATAAAAAAAAAATGGAAAATTTATTTTTATAATTTAGGGAGACGAAGGGAAAATTTTTTAATGATTATTTACGAAGGTAATAATATATCGACTAATGAATATCTATCGTCGATAAATATAGATTGAAGGATAAAATTTACATGTATATTAGTAAAAGAATACATATAGGAAAAAAGGTTAAAAAATTTTTTAACAAAAGAAAATCATCAAAATTTATACAAATTTTTTAATAAAATAAAGGTCTAAAACGTAAAAAATGTTGTTTGTTACATCGAGGGCATTTGTTTGTTTGTGTATTGCGCTTATTTCTTTAAAACCGCGAGTTTTTTACCAAAAGAGAAATTTTATCATATTTAATATTAATATCAATTACTATTATATCATCTTTGTTCTCGATAATCACTCTTAATTTGTTCGTTTTGGTAAAAAATAAAATTTAATACCTATTTTACAAGTTGTGAAACCTCCTCTTAATTTAATTATGTCACAGGAAGGAAAAGATATATTTTTTTTAATTAAATTAACTTGAAAATCACAAATTAAAGTTCGCAAAACAAATAACAATAACCAACCACCTGTCACAATCCTAACTAACTAAATCAAATACAATCAAATAACGAATAGCAATAATTGATAAATATATTACCATGCTTCTACTTTGCCAATGTCGTTGTTGCCCGTCACTGCTCTCGTTGCCTATTAATCGATACTGCAAAATTTTTTAAAATCTTGTTTCTAACTTGTTATTTTCCAATCGACTTATGGATGTATGTATACCAATTTAAATCTGGAAAAAGGTCGCATAAAAAAAACAATATTTTGTTTATTTACAATGATAAAATAATAATAAATAACTAATATATTGGTACTAGCAATAATAATTAATGATAATGGATGATACGAAATATTACGCTAAACATTCTAAATCCACCATCATCGACTTTTATAACAACACCAAACAAATGCAATTTCCTATTTTGTCAAGAATTCATAAACATAAACTAAAAATTTTCCTTGTACAATTTTGTCATCGTTTACCACTATCACTATCTATTTTTATTTATATTCGTTTCATTGTTATAATTGTTATATAATTAATTGCAGTCTACTCGACGATGTATATATCTTGTTTGCCGAAAAAAAGAATTTGACTACATATTGTTGTTACACTTGACGCATTAATTTCATATGACAAAACATTATAATAATTATAATAGAAAGTAGAAATATTTGGTGACGATAAAATCCAAATTCGCATATATAATTGTATTGTATTGTCGGGTAATTTTAGTTTTTTTTCTCGCTACTTGTAAATAAATTAAGAAATATGCAATAACTAGATATTTTTAAAGAGTATTTAATTCAGCAAAAAAAAAAAAAAAATAAATAAATATCATCGAATCAATCTTAACTTTATTTATAGTTTCTATTTATGTAATTTTTACTACTAGCCTTATTAGTTAATGGAGACCGAGGAAAAGTAAAATAAATCGAACAACGGAAATTATTAATTATAACAAATAAATAAATAAATATTTTTTAGTTTTTTTTTATGGTTATTAAGGAAATGTGAATAGTCTATATGCATTGTGTAAATAGGGCTTTTTCATTTGAGCTAGAAACACGTGATTTTTGCAAACACCTGTATTATTTGTAATAATTAAGACATGTATGGTTGGAATGGGCCAATTGAACAAGTGAATATCAAATCGCGATAAACAATTTAATCTATTGATTTTTAATTGTTTATATTCGTTAAATAACCTTTTCTTTTTTTTCCCTAGAAACATTATATTTGTTCCTTTTATAATAATCATTGTATTTTGGGGAACAATTAAAACAAATGCACAGGACTATTCCGTAATACAGTATCATAAAAAATCGTGAAAGCAGTCCGGTTCTGCCATTGACGATTGACATATTGATAAGATCAACAACAAGTTCCTGCCCTGTTTGCTGCGCAGCATTTTTGGGGATAAAATCAAAATTCCTGTAAAAATTCAATGCCACTTTATTACGTCAACAATATGATGCGAGCTCGCTCAACTTCGATAAGTTGGCCTTTTGTTGGAATTCTTTTTTAAAAAATATTTACAAACTTTGATTTCTCGAAACAGTAACGGGATTTTATATTGTGTCATTGGTATCTTGTATTTGGTAATTATTAGATGGTTGAACATCTTTATTTATTTATTTTTATATTTTTATTTGTTTATATTTATACAGGACGTGATTATGGTAAATTTATGGATTTTTATAATCAGCGATAATTTGGTATTTTAGTATCAATATGCCGGATAAAATTAAAGTGGTATTGATTATCTTTCTTTTTTGGATGACTAGTCTTTTTGACTCTTTCGATTAACCCATTGAATCTACTAATTCTCATTTATTTCACTTTCTTGTATTTCTGATCGTTCAATTTGAGTAGCATAATTTTCAGAATGAAATTTTCTTTTCATCATGATTCATCATTAACTAAAATTAGTAGGAAACAAGGCATAATGAATCATTTACCTACCATACATTAAGTGATATATATTTGTTACACCAAAGTTTCCATTTGTATAACAAAGCCCAAAGTTTAATGGGCTGAACACTGAGAATACATCTTAATATGTATTGAACATTATGCCATAAAGGAACAAAGAAAATTTATTTAACATCACAATCGTTTCTTGTTTAATAACAATCTCAATATCCTCCATATTATAATGATTGAGTAATCAATCAATCCAGATATAAATCCCTACTAGTGACACGTCCTATTCCTCGCTATATATGTATATGTGTATATGTGTATATATATATATAATAAAGGAAAATAAAAATTTATACCAAGTTGGTTATGGAAACTAATCCTTTATTTCAGCGCCGCCTGGAAAAATGTTTTTATTATCAAGATGATTATTATTTTTTATTGGTAAAGATATTTTTATTATTATATATATTATTATTATTTCCACTCGGACAAAGCCAAAGACACACGCAAAAAGAAAAGTCAAAATCTAAAGCCATTTAAATGCTTGAAGTTTTTCATCAAGTTACTCTATTATTTCCAATGAGTCATGCATTACAAGGAATTTCTTTGTGCTATTATAATATTCTTTAAAGAAAGGTAAAAGTTATCATCTGAGAATTGTTAAAAAGTGATTTTTTGAATTTGTTCACTGATGTATTTAACTAAAGAACCAATAATATTCATTTCTCTCACCATTTATATTAGAACTTAAGGGTCCGTGTTAATTTTTAGCTTGGTTCGTTTGCAAAGTGTTAAATGATGAATTATTAAATACAATGTTGTTTATTATCTGTGGTTAAAATATATAAATTTTGGCTCTAAGTTAGTATTAGAGTAGCAAAAATGATTCTAATAACAAACTTCCCACTTGACCTTTAAGACTTGTATGTCTTTAAATATTTCTCATTTTGAAGAGTTTACACCAGCATCAGTAGATGTCAATCCACCATGTTCGTAATTTGCTTGTATTATATCTTTTGTGACTTGTTCTCTTAATACTATTCATTATCCATGTCTTCATCCATAGATTCCACCCACCACTATCATCATTTTAGTGTGTCTTATATTATGGATTTGTTTTATTGAAAGAGATGATGAAAATGGAAATTGCAAATGTTGACGACTGCACTTTATGTTTTTCTTAACTACTTTATTTCCATCATTTTTCTGTTTGTTTACAACAATGATTATTATTACTATTATTATAGTCCATCATAATATAAAAAAAGAAGCCACATTTGCGACTATTATAAGGAATTCGTAGTGATACCTGTCTAACTAAGGTGAAAAGTGAAGTAAGAGGTTGTGAATTAAACAAATCTACAACAACATTGATTAAAAATAAAAATCAGGTGCACAATCATATCAACTGTCACTTGGTGAAATTCATTGTTGGTACTACACAACTATTTCAAAAATTAATGATGATGAAGGTTTTGTTTGAGGAGTAAACAAGAAGAAGGTTTTTTAGTTTTAATTTTTTTTTCTTTTAGATAAAAATCCCTTTGATAACATTTTTTTTGTAAAGAATGATAAACTTTATTGATTGCCATAAAAATCGATTGTTACAATTTGCTGATCAATTTAATCAATCTCTCTAGCGTGCATATTAATTAAACATATCGTGCATATACTATATAGCATAAAATGTAACCACACCTGACCATATTAAACGAGCTGATTGGTGGATTTTCTGTTTAGGAGATAGATAATTTCACATAATCAGTGGACAGGGTTTTACACGAATTTGATAGTGATAAAAATTCGTAAATATCAAAAGAAAATTGAAACTTGTATTATACCTGATTATTTTTGACTTCTGTTCAAGATTTTCCCAAAATGTAAGTTATTAGAGGATAATAAAAGATGAATTTATATACATCACTAAAGGTATAACTAACATTTAATATTTTCAAAAATATACAATTCATTCAAATTTATTTTATAGAATTAATAAAGATGGAATTTTTTACCAGTTATTATAATTGATATATTTCAATAATGTATTTTTTAACTAACCATCTAAGAACTACGGAAAATCTATACAATAAATAGTTTTTATTAATACACAAGGTTCTGCATTTTTTAAAATGTCATATATGTATTAGCACCTTGGCACAGTTGAATGTTTTGTAAGTGGTTAGTTTGTTTACCTTTTAATAAAGAATTAAACAGAACATAGAATTGTCATGGATTACGAGAAAACTTCGAATCATTAAAACGAGATGTTCATAGGTACATATATTCAACCCAAAATGTAATGTTATTCTATTTTTAAATTCATTATAATGGCGCGCTAACAACGAAACTGTGACAGGTGTCCATAACGAAAAAGGGAGATAGAAGATAGATTACAAGGTGTGCAAGTCAATGAATTAGATTACGACCACCTTATTACCTATCGCTAATATATCAGAAGAGTCTCGCAAAATATTCAATGAGCCAAGCAAAAATTTTTATTATCTGCGAATAGCTGCGAAGAACTTATTCACAAAGAGAGAAAGAGTGAACACATTAAAAATTTGGTGATTACTATGTTTGGTATATTTTTAGATCATTACAGGATATAACTGATTGGATGTATGCTAGGCGAATTTGGAAGTCACAAAAATATAGATCTTGTGTGACCACTACTTAGAAAATTCATATATTAATATGCAAGGAAAATTTTACTATTAATATAGAAAAATGCAATTTTCGTATGGAAATGTATTAGCATTAATAATATTATATTAATATTATATAGTAATAGGAAAATGACTCGGGAAAAAGTACGGAAAAAGTATAATTTTCCGTACATTTATATATATAATATATTAATATAAAATAGTTGAACAATGTATAATAATAGAAGGCGTAATTTTTCCGAGGCATTTTCCTATATTTTCTTGCGTAGTCATGTCTGCGAGATATTATCGCTATTATTAAGCGCCGTTTTTTGTACGGAATATGCATATATGTGCCATCCATAGTAGTCCTGATTTTTTTTTCGCGTATATTACTCATAGTGCGAATAGTGTATTATAAATGCGCGCATAATAATAAGAAAACAAATAGCACATAATTTTTTTTTTAAATATTTATTAATAAACAATGTCTGTAAAAAGCATAGCTAAAACCTTATGAGTAGCATACTAGGAACATATATATTATACATAAAAAGAGCGCTTTTCCGCACATATTTGCCCTAAAATGTATTGGAGGGTACGGAGTTTTCAGAAAATGCCCCGAAAAATACATTCCGTACATTTTCCGTGCTTAATAATAATAATAATAATAATAATAAGGAATTCTATGTTGGCATAAATACTAACCCTGAAAATACATATTGTCTAATTCACATATTATTGACTTTCAGGACTGGAATTGTGTGTACTATACGAAATATTCTATATACTAGTAACTATTGAGATGAAACCCGCTTCAACCGTCTCAAATTCACTTCCTCACCATTTTTAATATATTTGTTAATAAAAATTTTTTCATTGTATATTGATATGTAATACCAATAATTCTGCGTGTTATAAACCTGATGAATACATACATGTGAAAAAAATCAGTTAATTCCTACACATATTGGCCTTGCCAGCTCTGCCGAGAATATTCGAATCAATATTATTTGCTTCTAGAATCTACATATCTCTTCATACTTCGTGGAGCACAAAGTGCTCTAATCAAATACAGCATTTGTATCTTACGTATTTCTATTTATTACAATTATATCTTAATCATCCATGATATGCATATATTTATTTCTGTTTTGATATTGTAAATATTGCATAGATTTGTAGTGAATCTACCTTGAGATTTTCATTTGTTATTCTTGATTTGCGAGTTGATCTGTGTAGCGACGTATTATATCAAAGTATAGTCATTCAAATTCTTAGGCAGAGCCAGCAATGGTAGATCATTAGATTATACCAAATACTCATTATCATATACTCATTTTTTCGCACCACAACATCAGACGCAATACAGTTCACAAGGTAAAATTAACTCAAATGATAATTCTTGAGCGATTGGAAAGTATGTATAATTCTGGATCATTTGTTTGGAAATCTTTAGCACTGGTAAGTCGTCCTTCACTTAATATTGTCTATACCAATGGAAATGCCCCAAGAATTCCTAAGGACATATTCAATAAAATAATCTATAAAATGGAACATACAAGAGATCCTACCACAAATACACAGGGATGACAACCAATACAACTTTCCCAATCCCCTGGGAATGCATCAACGAATTTGGATGTGATTATGATATGATAGATATCAAAAGTGTATTGAACTAAAATAAAAGTGATAAAGGCAATAGTTATTCCAAACCAGATCCAACATCTTATCTGAACTTTTCCTTGTATTTAAAAATTTAGGGCAAGGAATGCAGGTGTGTTATGTTGCATGTTAATTCGTGATTCTTTTAAGAAGGAGTGAATTTTATTGTAACATTTTATAGTAAAAATCATCCAGTTCGCCTTACGTTCCTATTGTAACATGATTTTTCCACTTGCATTTTTGTAAATCAAACATTTGGATTCAATAAACAGACTGTTATGAATATTTTTATCAAAAAAAAATTTTTTTTGTTCAAGCCGTTTTTGCTATTTAAATCTTGTTTGGGGATTATGGGTATAAAATCAACATAATACAAAATAATGGTTCGTCAAATTCTTTCTCAGCTGATTCTTTTTTATGTTCTCTACTAAAACGTGTTACTCATTTGCATCCAACTCACCTGCTTCTACTCTTTGTTTTAGATCTGCAAGCATTTCTTATCTAGGCTCTTAGAAGTTGTTTTACTTGCTCAGACATGCGCCTACTTCCACTATGCTTTCCAAAAATTGTTTTTCACAAAGAGCTCAGCCCAGTTCAAAGTAAGTCATTTTAAAATTAAAAATTTTTAATTAACACCTAGAGATATTTATTATATTAATTTTTTTCTCTATAATGGACCATTTGGTTTAGGAAAAAATGTCTGTTATAGACAATAATGATAATAATTTATATATATACATATAAATTGGGCTTAATTTTTCAGTACATTATAGAGAGTGGACTGTAAAGAGAACCTGTTATAGACAATAATAATTTATATCAATTATATATAGGATGTGAACTGTGTCTTATTCATTTTTTTAACTGCTTCATCTTCATTCCCAGGCATCATTATATGGCGTTTTTCATTTTGTATA